GATCGGCGAGGTGAGCGGGATGCCGTCGGGCGGACTCGACTGGTGTCGTGAATGGGGCTGAGGCGACACCACTTCGCCACGTGCGCCCATCCCGCTGGCGCCTCCCGCACCTCCGTACAGGAAGGACGCACCGGCATTCTGAGCCGGGTTGTGAGGGCGCGGCATTTGGAGATGCTGTGTGCTGGGGTCGCCCTGAAGGCCGTGCGGGAGCGGAGGTGGGGCGCCGCGATTCTTGGGCGTAGCCGTGCTGACACGCAGCGGGCGTCCGGGCGAGAGGCCGTTGGCGGGCGAGACGACGACGCCTTGCATCTCGACGAGGGCGCGGTTGCAGTCGGCCTCGAGGGCAAAGCGGACGAATCCGTAGCCCTTGGAGACGCCGGTGACGGGGTCGGTCATGATCTTTGCGGATTTGGTCGAGTGGAAGGGAGCGGGACCGATGTGTGCACCGGGCTGGTAGACGCCCTGCGCCTGCTGCGCGTTGATGAGCGCGGATGCGAACGGATGGGCAGGCGGCCAGGAGGGAGGCTGGAGGAACTGCGCCACCAGGTCGTCTTCACGCAGATCGGGGCTGAGGTCACCCACAAAGATGCTGTACTCGGAATCCTTGTGGATGGAGCCGACAGGGCTCTGAGCGGTGCCTGGACCCATGCCTCGTGCGGCGGCCTCCTGGAGACGCGAGGTGCGCTCGGACATGGAGGAGTGCGGGCGGTCGAGGGGGTTGAGCGGCGGTCCAGCTGCTGTCTGCATGGAGGGCGGGTAGTCGAGTGGACCCGTCATGCCGCCACGGGGCTGTTGCCAGGAGGGTTGTGGTTGGCCGTGCAGATGCGCCAAGTTAGGTGCGGGATACTGATTTGGGCTGTTGGCAGCTTGCTGGTGCGATTGTTGCGGATGAAGATGCTGGTGCTGTGGTTGCTGAGAATGCGGGAGCGAGTGGGCGGGATGCGGGTTGTGCTGAGCATGGTTGGGGTGGTGATGCGAGTTGGAAGCGCCGTGGCTGGGATCGTTGAAGTAGCGTGGAGAGGTGACGTTGCTCCTCGGCGGAGGTGAGGAGGCAGGATGGGAGCCCGATGGCGATCGGAGCGGGAAAGAGGAGCGCTCGACTTCGTGCAGCAGGTTGGGGCTGAAGAGAGGCGGACGAGAGAGAGGCGAGGAGCTGCGGGCGTTGAAGTTGTGACGCAGACGACTTGCCTGGTCGTATGCAGACCTTGCAGAGAAAGGCGGCGCATTGACTGGACCGGGAGCTTGGGAGCCGGCGGACTGAGGGCCGATGTTGCTTTGGCCAGCAAAGGAAGAGGCTTGCTGGGCGTGTGCGTGGCCGGCAGCGGCGTCGTGTGCTTGATGGGCTGCCGAATTTTGGCCACTTTGTGGAAGATTGACGGTGGCGTGGCCGTCGTCGGAGGATGTGCTGCGGGAGAAGAGCGTGCGTGCTGCAGCGCTACGGTCCGAGTCGGAAGGGAAGTGGGCCATATTGAAGGCGGGCATGCCTGGGGGTGAGGTGCCTGCCGACATGTTGACGCGTGCGCGCGGGGGGGAAGGAGCGACGGGGATGGCTGCCGTCGCAAGCGATGGATGCCCTCAGCAGTGGGTGCCTTGACGGGGGGTTGCTCGAGCTTCACGCGGGAGCCCGAGTTGGTGGGAGGGAGGACTGCACGCGACTCTGGGGACTTGTGACCACTTGGAAGGTCAGGGATGCGGCGCGTTTGTGGTGACACTGAGCGACTTAGTGTGTGCGTACGCTGGCGACACGGATGGGGCGCGGCCAAGATGAAGCTGTGCGGATGATGGCGAGGCGAGCAGCTGGATGGCTAGAATGGCAGCCACGATGAAGTTGCGTAAAAAGCACCGGCTGGCTGGAATGGCGTCTGGATGGTCAAGAGGTGGCTTGTGGCGTCCGTTATGGTGTCGGAGCGAAACCTTGATTTGGGCCTCGAGGCAGACGTTTGGACAGAGACGAGACAGGTATACCGAGAAATGCGTGTGGTACAGCGTCGAAGCGGTAGGCGTCGACGGGCAAGCTGGCGGATGCACGTTGCGGGACGAGTGGTATAAGCGGGAGCTGCGCGACTCTAGAGTAAACGAGGCCGAGTGAGCCGATACAAGGAACGGTATAAAGACGAGCGAGGCGGTGCGATTGCGAGTCGGCGAAAAGGCGAGACGGCGAAACGGCGAGTTGAGCGTTCGGATCTAGGATGGTATCGACGCCGAAGCGTGCCGGGACTGAAGGAGCGAGTAGGGGCTGATATGGATCGTTGCAGAGATAGAGAGATGTAAAAGGCTAGTCGGACCTATGTGATGCCAGGAAGGCAGTGCGGGGGCGGTGCGAGGCTTGCTCGAAGGTCGAAGTGCGATGTGTTCAGCACGTCCAATCCGGGTCGACTGATGGGCAGCGATGATGCGAGCGGATGTGTGAGAGGAGCCGAAGCTGGATGCGAAGGGTTTAGTAAGACGATGGAAGAGGAGAAGGATGCCGAGGGAGCGACTCTCTCTTCCTACTGTTTGCGGATCCGCGTCGAGTCGAGTATGCACGGCGATATGAACGGGAAAAAAAAAA